ATAGAGAGGCGAGGTGAGAGGGGCGGTGATGCAGGGGAGGGGCGGGCCGGGAGCAGCCCGCGCGCCGCCATCTTGTGGTTGGGGCCAGGTGCGATGGCCGGGGTCGCCGTGTTGCAGTAGCAGTGCCGCGTCCTGTATGTAGAGACATATACAGGGATATATGGATAAAAATCACTGTAAGATGTAGGCTTTGGCGCTATGTTTGTTTTATAGAAAGTTTAAGGGTTTTTTTTAAAAAACCAATGCTTCATTACTAAGTGGTTCAGTGGCAAATAAAATGGCAGAAGCAGCTAGGAAGAGTCAAGAACTGCACAGGGAAGTCAGCGCAATCAAGGAAATCAGGGGTTGAGTTTTCTAGAGACAACTGTGGCTTTGGCTTTTTGCAGGGTTGCCTCACTGGGAAAACGTATTGAATCGCATATGTGTGTTTCAAAACAAGTTGGTCATCAGGAATGTGAAAGGCAGGCGAGGCAATCTTAGAGTACTCTGCAGAGGAGTTGGGAAGCAAAAGCAAGGCAAAGGGGCTCAGGCTGACAAGAAGAAATGGAATGGCTGCTCAATAAAAAGCCCAGGATCTGACTTCTTTAGGCAAAGGAACAATAGCTTTTCCTGTTTTCAGTGTAGAAAGTGTTACAATAATTATTAGTAATAAAACTCAAAGAATTTGATTCACTGCTAGTAACCAAAGAAAAAAGATGGTTACCACGACCCTTTGTTTGTCAGTTATTACAAATTTCTCTTGGATACGAGTATAGCAGTCATCTTCAGGTAAAACACAGTGCAATAATTCCTAAGTGCACGAAAATTTAAGCAAAAAGGTGAAGTATGCCATTTTCAGAAGGTACAAGCTTAAGAAAGTTTTTCAAAACATGAACCTTCAAAAGCAGAAGTAACCTCCCTTGAAAAATCCACCCAATGCCTGAAAAGTGCATCCATGCCATAATCTTGCATGAAGTCAAAAGCTTTTAATTTAGACAGTTTTGAAAGTTTGTCATGCATGTATGTCCTGCCTGCTTTTAGCAAAACTAAGTAAAAATCATAGTACCTATTGAGTGTTCAAATGATTTGCAATGAGATACTCTTCATTTTTTATTTTGTTCTCCATCTTTACATTGAAAACTTCACTGAGCAACATTTCTTATTTCTATTAAATGTGGAATGGCCATAGGAGGAGGCCCTTGCTGGTACTGTTGAGGTACCGTGAATGATTTCAAGATTATACAGTCAACCAGCTAAATCACTAGCCCAATTAGCAGGAACTCACTGCCTTTAGCAAAATCAAAAGATACTTGGGAGCGCTACCATGCAAATTCAACAGCTAGAGATACTTGTGGAGAAAATGATGGATAATTTTTATTTGCATCCCAGATGTGGTATAATAGTCTGGTGCAATCTCAAACAGCATTTTCACAAATTATGCAGCCACCAAATTTGCACAATTTCTGGTAGAACAACATGAATAAACACTTTTACAAGAATATTAAAAATCATTTTGCTTATGAAAATAGAAGACTCAATCTGCATTCCGAAATTTGCTTTTATATACAATATTGTAGTATTAACACTCTCAGTAACTGTGTTGCTCTGGAGGTGATGCACACAGGGTATGGAACCACTAAAGGATGAGGAAGGTGGGGTGTAGTAGCTTGAATGATGCCCTCCCTTCATTTCCAGTGCAGTTCCATTTGTAGCACTGTCCAGACTCCAGAGACTGACTGAACAAAATGAAACTAGCAAAGTAATGTAAAGCAGAACAGGTGGAGTGCAGAGAAGCATCTTTGAACAATCTAGGCATATTTCTTCTTATTTCACTTGTGAGACCAAGCTCATATGTAACTACAAGGTCATTCCCAAGAGCTGAAGCAGCTGCATTCTCAAGTAACTACAGCCTATGAATGAATGGTGAGAATTAATATCTTTTTTTTTTTTTCATCAAGCAGAACCAAAACCAATCAAATATATATTTACATAGAAACAAATCCAGTCCTACCCGCATTACTTCTAGGTATATCTTCCAAATCTTTGCTAATTAATGAATAATTATGTGAGCTCATGGGAGGCCGTTCTAGTTAAAATAGCAGTGGAATGTGGGGCACTCCTTTTTCTCATCAGTGAATATCAATAATTGTATGCCTGTGAAAGGGACACAAAACCATTTCTGTAAGAGCGGTGCCTAACAGTTTACTGCAAGACAAAGCCTCTTTTGTTTGATTTTTGTTTTCAAGAGCTATTTGTGTTCTTGAGCTCTCCCACTGAGTTTGGAAGTCTTTGTGTATTATTATCCACAAAATACAAAATCCCATGCACAGTGGGCTTAAAACAGGCCTCAGAGAATTTCTTCGCTTCTCGATGAGGAAGGTTTTCCTCAAAGAAAGTGAGGAACTGGTACCGTTAGTATCTATTATTTTAATACTCTCTGAACTGTTACCCAAAATTTCAGTCTTGCACATTGCTCTGGTAAAAAACAGTATCTTGTGATGAGGCCTGTTATTTCATTAGTGCATTATTTTCAGAGAATGCCAGCAGTTCCCAGGTACTGATACAGATTGTTATGCCACAGCAGTACTTTTTACAGAGAGAAGACAGGGCAGAGTAAGGACGTGACAGGATTTTCATCCTCTGCCCTGTGCTTGTATTTCTAAATATTCACAATTGAGCTTGCCATTTTCATAGCTACATTAAACATTATTTACATAGACAGAAGAACAACCAAGCAAAAGAAACATCTTCCATTTTCAAGAACCCGAGCCCTTTCCAATCAGTATCCCAACCCTCTTTCCTATGTCTTCTCAGGACCATGAAACAAGATGTTCTGCATCCACGTCTGGCCTTCTGATCCTTTCTCCTCTTCAGGGTAATAGTCATGGCTATTTCTTATCTTTTACTCAAATATATATTCCAAAATATGTCCTTCACATTCATCCATATTTCCAATATTATTTCATTCCATCTTCACTGGGCAGTGAAACATACTTGTTTTAATCTGGAAGGTGTATTGTTCTATGAAAAAGAATTAGCTTAACCCCTCCGCTTCCTTTTTTTTTTTTTTGTTTGTTTGTTTGCCCTTATCTTAAATGATGGATAACGTTTGCATCCAGACTTTCAACAATTTCTTACCTTGTGACAATTTCTTTTTGTGAAACAGTCTTCTAGTGTGAATCACAGGATATTGTACACCTGACACAGCTCAGTTGTAGAGCTGGTCCTGGAGAAGCAATTCACTACACAGAGAATTGAAAAAAGAAAAGAAGGATGGAGGTGATGGTAACACTGTTACAACAAAGCCACAGTTTCTCTACAGGTAGTTAATCATATGCTATCGTTAATTACATTTTGCATAGTTAATTATTTCTTTAAAATTAGGGTGAATCCTCTCTTCATTAAAGCAAGCAGTAATTTTTTTACCAGCTTCATTAATCTCAGGAATTCAGCCTCGTATATTCTTTATTTTATACATCCAATGTCAACTGGTATGGTTTTAGTGTCTCAGAAGTGCTATTCCAAAAGGTACCTTTCCAAGTTGTGTCTTCCATTATGGAGAAGAAATATTTTGCTTCTGCAGGGCAAGCCCTAATTTTGCTGTCTAAGAAATAACTTGCTTTCAGTTCAAACCAGTTTAATTTGACTTCACTCTCTGTCTGTACTCCGTAACAATGCTAAATTCTACATGGTTCTACCTTTTATTTATTTTTTAATTATCAACTCAAAACAATCATAACATTTTTGAGGTGGACATTGTTCTCCGACTTCATAGTAGCTTTGGAAATGCCAGCTTGGCAATGCTCACTAGACAAATCTTTAGGAGACTTTGGGAATAAAAATTAAAAAAAATTCAGATATTCATTACAGACTTATTGAAATTAAAATTATTTAGCATGCAGTGAAGGATACATCAAAAATTCAGATGAAATATATAAACACCCCAAGTATTAAAAATAGCAACCTCCAAAAGCTCTTTATCTTTTCCAAATTAAATACAACTACAAACTTATAGCCAAGCAGCAAATGTTTAAATTTAAAAAGGTTTTTTTAAGTAAGTAAGGGAACATTTTGTATAAGATTTGCTAATAATAGCATCTATTATATGATCTAAAGACACATTACAGTAATAAACTGTATTCACAAAGCAGTTCATCTACAAACATTAGAGACATTTCCAAAATGATGAGGTAGTTTAATTTAAAACTCCACCAAAACATGAAAGGAATGCTAAGGGTAGTAAAAATCAATGTGGAATTGTAGTAGAAATTGAAATATATCTTCACTACTACACTAGTTGTGTATATTGAGGGCAGAATTATTGTGTATTTTAATATCA